ATCCTCAGCCACCTCTGGGTTGACATAGACCATTCAGGATCCCAGGGCAGCTCCGGGATGCTAAAGTCCAAAGGACTGAATTGCTATGGACTGAACTTTGTACCCTCAAAAGTCACATATTGAAGCCTGATATGGTTTGGCTGTGTCCCCACCCAAATCTCACCCTGCATTATAATCCCCATGTGTCAAAGGAAGGGCCAGGTGGAGACAACTGAATCAAGGGGGTGGTTTCCTCCATACTGTTCTCATGGTAGTCTCAGGAGATCGGATGGTTTTATAAACGTTGAGTTCCCCTGAACAAGCTCTCTTGCCTGCCACCATTAGTGAGACGTGACTTTGCTCCTTATTCACCTTTCCCCATGATTGTGAGGCCTCCCCAGCCGTGTGGGAACTGTGAATCATTTAAACCTCCTTCCTTTATAAATTACTCAGTCTCGGGTATGTCTTTATTAGCAGCATGAGAACAGACTAATACAAAGCCTAACCCTCAATGTAACTGTATCTATAGATAGGGCCTTTAAGGAGGTAATTAAGGTTAAATGAGGTCATAAGGGTGGAGCCATAATCTGATAGAATTAGTGCCCTTATAAGAAGAGACACCAGGGAGGCCATTCTCTCTCTCTCCACCATAGGAGGACACAGCAAGGCGGCCATCTGCAAGCCAGGAAGAGAGCTCTCATCAGAAACTGAATCAGCCAGCACCTTGATTTTGGACTTCCTGGCCCCCAGAACTTTGAGAAAATTAACTTCTGTTGTTTAAATCACCCAATCTATGGAATTTTGTTATGGCAGCCCAAGCTGGCGAAGATACCTCCCTCTGCCCACCCACACCAAGCTGTCCCGTTGCCATGGCTATACCACAGTTTAGGGCAGGGGGCAATTCAAGAGGTGGCCTCCTGCAGTGCTAAATGGGAAGCAAAGTCAAGGTCTCCTGTCTTGTTCTCAGTGTTCTCTCTAATATGCTTGCACCCTCTCCAAGTCAAAGTCCAGAGAAGGGAAATTGGGACACCCATGTGAGCCTCTTGTCATCTGCTTCTCTGTTCCCCTTCTTCTTCCTTAATCCTTTAAAAAAAAAAAAAGCATCAGGTAAAAAAACCTTTTGTGGTCCCTAATTACATCTTTATTCTTTCTGACTCCAGCTAAGCCTTAATGGTAGACAAAAGTGTCTACTTCACATCCCTGAAAAATGTTATGGGAATAGATTCTCCAAGTTTGCTTACTGGTTATAAAGGAGCAATAATTAAAATTAAAAACAAAATTGAAGAACCCTGCCTTGCAAGGCTGTTATCCTATTGCATAATCCTATTTTTGAATGGTAAAGGCTGACGGACACTGTGGTCTTCCTTGGCATTCAAATCTCCCCCTAGCCAAAAGGATGCTCACAGTATATTAGAGAAACTATGATGTTCTGGGAAAGAAAAAAGAGAAAGGCATGTTAAAATAAAAAATATATCACCCCAATTTGCATATATACATACAAATCTTCTTTTTTGTTTTTTGAGATGGAGTTTCACTCCTATTGCCCAGGCTGGAGTGCAATAGTGCGATCTCAGCTCACTGGAACCTCCACCTCCCAGGTTCAAGCGATTCTCCTGCTTCAGCCTCCTGAACAGCTGAGATTACAGGTGCCCGCCACCACACCTGGCTAATTTTTGTATTTCCAGTAGAGATGAGGTTTCACCATGTTGGCCAGGCTGGTTTCAAATAAATCTTCTTTTAACCAAAAAAAAAAAAAATGGTATATCACATTTTACATACTTCCCTGCTCTGAGCTTCATTCACCTAAAATTGTATCTTCACCTTTCTCTCTTGGAACATAGATATCTATCTTGCTGTCTACCTCTATCTCCCTAGTCCAAGTCACCAATATCTCTCACCTACACAACTGCCATAATCTTCCAACTGGTCACCCTGCTTCCACTCTTGCCATGGTATAATCCATTCTCCAAACAGGAAAAAAAAGAAAAAAAAATTTAAATAAAAATTGCTAACGTCAAGACTTCTGCCTCTAAATAGAAGGGAGTAGTTGACAGGCCAGTGTTCCTGCTAAGAACTGGAAAGGGTGGATAAAATAGAAAACCATCGTTTTAAAGGCATCGGAGAGCTCTGGAGGCAAAGGACTGGAGACATTAACATTCCACAAAGGGGACGAGGCGTGGTAGCTGATACCTGTAATCCCAGTACTTTGGAGGTCAAGGTGAAAGGATAGCTTGAGCCTAGGAGGAGTTTGAGACCAGACAGGGTCTCAACATAGCAAGACCCTGTCTCTTACAAAAATTAATAAGCAGCTGGGCACGGTGGCTCACACCTGTAATCCCAGCACTTTTGGAGGCCAAGGTGGGTGTATCACGAGGTCAGGAGTTCAAGACCAGCCTGGCCAGACAGTGAAACCCCATCTCTACTAAAAATACAATAGCCAGGCATGGTGATGAGTGCCTGTAATTCCAGCTACTTGGGAGGCTGAGGCAGATAATTGCTTGAACCCGAGAGGTGGAAGTTGCAGTGAGCCGAGATCTCACCACTGCACTCCAGCCTGGGTAACAGAGCAAGACTCCATCTCAAAAAAAAAGAACAAAAATTAGCTGGGCATGTTGGTGCAAAGCTCAGCTTCCCAAGCAGCTGAGATTAAAGATAACCATTAGCATTCTTTCATATTTTTAAATTACGGTATTTATAGTTTTGGACATAATGCTATTGCACAGTTAATAAACTACACTATAGTATAAACTTAATTTTTTTACACAAGGGTCTTCACTATGTTGTCCAGGCTGGCTTTGAACTCCTGGGCTCGAGCAATCCTCTGCCTTAGCCTCTAGAGTAGCTGGGACTACAGGTGCATGTGCCACCACACCTGGCTAAAATAACTTTAATGCAGTGGGAAACCAGAAAATGTGTGCAATTCACTTTATTGCAGTGGTCTGGAACGAAGCCTCTAAAATACAGCTACATATACTTATCTGGGCTGGGATCTCCTTGAGGGCACAAACTGCCTTACTCACCTAGTATCCTTTCCTCTAGCTTAGCGTCTGGCTCCCAAGTAAATGCACAATGCTTTTTGAGCGAACGAGCCTCACTCTCCCAGCTTTCCATTCTCCTCTCAGTTCTGCTGTGGAGTGTCCCACCAGCTGCTTCCCCAGGCCCTCATACTCAGCACACAGCCCAGCAAGGGCCACGCCTCCTTGACCTAATCCTGGCTCTTGGGCCACCTTGGTCAATGGACTGCCCTTCTCAGAGTTCTTCAGGCCCTGAAGACCTGGGATGGCTCCTGCCTCACATGCAACAGTGGCAAGAGGCACACATGATGATCTAATGCCAGATGAAATATGCAGACTTAGGCACTGGCCTGTATTCTACTGCTATCCCCTCCACTGTGGCAGACATCAGTCATCAGTTACAGCTTCCTCAAGTGGACCCAGATTCCTTCCCCTGGCATCTGTTCAAGCAGCCACAGCCAGTTGGCTAAAGGTGGCAAACAGAAGTCAGAGGATGGTCCTCAAAGGCCAACACAGAAAAAGGACCTGTGATTTCTGGATCCTTCTGCAGGGAACCGACTGGTGGTGTGGTGCCTTTAAACATCAAGAACACCTGCCCCTTAGGCCAGGCATGGTGGTTCACATCTGTAATCTCAACACTTTGGAAGGCCAAGGCGGGCGGTTTACTTGAGGTCAGGAGTTCAAGACCAGCTGACCAACAAGGCAAAACCCTGTCTCTACTAAAAATACACAAATTAGCTGGGCGTTGCAGCACATGCGCATAGTCCCAGTTACTTAGGAGGCTGAGGCACAGGCAGCGCTTGAATCTGGGAGGCAGAGATTGCAGTGAGCCAAGATCACACTCCAGCCTGGGCAACAGTGTGACTGTCTCAAAAACAAAAAACAACAAGAAGAAAAAAAAAAAAAAAGAATGCCTGGCAGACCATTAATGTGCCAAATTCATCAAGACAGGCTTACCAGCCTGATTTTTGCCCCAGCTCCAGCCAAGGTGGTTTTAACTTCAAATGGGGAGATTAACTGCAGCTTTTCACCATGGCCCTTGGGACATGTGTAGATTCCTCCCTCTGTAAATCAAGAGATGAGAGTTCACACATGCACATCCTTAGATAATGTCATTGCTGCAGTTTTTCTTTCTCTTAAAAACAGGTCTCACTCTGCCACCCAGGCTGGGCTGCAGTGGTGCCATCATTAACTCATTGAATCCTCAAACTCCTGGGCTCAAGCACTCCTCCTGCCTCAGCCTCCTGAGTAGCTGGGACTACAGGAGTGCACTACCGTGCCTGGCTAATTTTTGTGGAGACGGGATCTGTTGCCTAGGCTGGTTTTGATCTCCTGGCCTCAAGAAATCATCCCACCTTGGCCTCCCAAAGTGCTAGTAATACAGGCACAAGGCACCATGCCTAGCCCTTGCAATAACTGACTGTACCCTAATCTCCAAAGCCTGACTGTAAGGGAACCCCTCAGTTCCATCAACGGCAGCTGCTCCACGTTCACCCTACTCCCAGTGTTACCCCATAACCTGGCTCTCAAGTTGACACCATGGCTTTTACATCCCACACATGCTGACCAACTCGCCCCAGTTTGCTCAGGATCTCCCTGGGTTTAGCAATGAAAAACCCACTTTCTGGGAAACCCCTCAATCTCAGGCAAACTGGGATAGTTGATCTCATAAGTAGGCATTTACTTATGAGCCAGGTCATCCAGGACACTCCAGCCTTCCTGAATGACATCGGACCTGTCTCACTTCATAATCTACCCTGACTATTCTGCAATGCCCTCAATTCTCATGGGTCCTAAATGCCTAAATGTGAACCAACTATCAGCACTTGTTCACCTCCTAGTTCCAAATGTGCACCTCGAACAATAACCTCTGAGTCCAGTCTCCAGAACATATGCATGAAGAATAGGAAAGGCTCCAAGAGTGAAAATCAGATCTGGCCTATGGCCTACCTTCTCCAAAGCCAGTCTTGCAGGCTCACGGGTTGTCACTGATTTAAGAGGCAGATGGAGCAATTCTGTAAGGTTTATTGAATGGGTGGGTAAAAAGTGAACGACAGCTACAAATTCAGGAATAAAACTCTTAGTTATTAAAGTCATTCCAGGCATGGCCAGAGGGATGCAGGGCTGGCCTTCCCTGTCCACGGTCCTCCGAGGCAGCTGAAGTCTCCCATGTCTGGACCCCGAATCTTGTGCAGATTGAACAGTGGATCCGGGGTGCTCTAAGCAGGCAGCAGGGAGCAGCTCTAAGCAGGCAGCAGGGAGCACCACATGACGCTTCATGTGGTGGCCTCACTCTCTATTCTCTGCCCCTCTGGTGTCCATAAACACCACCAAGAGATTCTGCAACAGAGAACAAGTGAGACCAGTGATTCAAAGTTCCCATCTGCATAAGCACAGACCAGTCGGGCCTCTGGCTGTGGGTTCCAGCTCTTGGCATCAACTCACCATGGTAAGAAATACCAGCAAACCCAGATCCCAGGTCACCAACTCCATGGTCTTAGGACTTCCTTGGACTGTCCTTGAATCTAAGGCTGAGACCTAAGAGGGTAAGAAAGCATACAAGTATTTAGTCTCCAGGGCCATCTCCTCCTCCCCAAGCTGACACCACGGAGAGGGGTCCCATTCAAGCAGGGCAAAGCTCCTCATTCAGGCACACCAAATTAAAAATCCCAACAGAAAGGACACAAAAGGACAAACATCTTAGTTCTGTTTTTCTTTCAAACAGTTCACAATCGGGGCAAATGACCAGCTAGAGTGATCCACAGGAATACAGCTTTCCTAGTCCCACCTACAACTTTCTCCATTTATTCGACATTACTGATAGCGCCTGGAGAAACAATACGGATTTCACATTTCATGAAACAAAGCCCGTGATTCACAATTCTCACGTGTGCCCTTCACTGCTATCTGAATTCATGCCAGCGTGGGGCCCAAAGAGAAATGCAGACTGGTTTCTGGCAGGAGGATCCCTAACATGAAAAGACAAAATGAACCCTCAGAAGTCAGCGGGTGGGTCTAGTCATCATATCACACGGGCCTACAAAGGCCCAAGCTCTGAAGGGCTGGCAGGAAAAAGGCTGCAGCATGGGAAAGCTCCAGGGTTTGAAAGGGAAGGCTGGGCCAACGCAGGGAAAACATCTCTTAGCACTCCTACCCCTGCACTATGAATGATCGGGGCACAGGCAACCCCATGGTCATTTTTGGATACAAGAACAGGGAAGGACAGAAGAGAGCCAGCAAGGGAGGGAGGCTGGTGTCAAGGGCCTGAGGAATGGCCTGAGACAGGGAGAGCAGCTGAGCTGAGCAGAGGCCTAGCCACGGCCACTGTGTGTACTTCTAAGACCCCAAAAGGAGTCAAGACACTTTCAGCATTTAAAAAATGGAAATGCTTTTGGGTTGGAAAAGGTCAGGAGCATGTGGTCCTAACATCATACATGCACACCCCGAATGAAAAACTCACTGCTAATCCAGATCACAGCATACTGCGGACACCAGCGCTCAAGCAGGGAGGAAGGTTCCCCCAGGGAACTCACTTTACCCATCCAGATTTCTGGAGGCCCTTCCTCTGCAACAGCCACTGAAGGCATGTGAGAAGACAGCCTCACAGCAGGACAGAACGGGGAACCACGGGATACCACTTTTACCTTGTTTCCCCTACATCATCCAAGCCCCAGGAATAGCATATGACTCTGTAGGATGCAAAAAAACATATTCCAGACAACAGTCTAAAAATCTCACCTTAGGGACCCATGGTCCAGAGCCCTGCTGCTATGAAGACGACACATCCCATGGAGCCTCGGCACACAGCGGACCCACCTGAAACAGACACAGAGAACACTTAACACAGGGGCTGGGAGATCATAAGCATCCCACAAATGCCACTGTCTCTGTTAGTACTTACAGCCACATTATTGTCTCAGGAACAAGAAAAACGTAACTCTAGGAAGGGGTCGGCAGACTGTGAGAGAAATGGCATCTATGCTAACTGATGTGCCCGCTGTGTGCTGCTTATCAGTATACATTAAATAGACCCAGCTATCCCTTTTCTGGACACATACTCAACAGAGATCAAATCACACCTCACAAAGACATCTGCACTCCAATATTCACTGCGGCATTACTACCAATCACCAAGATACAGAAACAATCTAAGTCACCATCAACAGATGAATGGAAAAAGAAAATGTGGCATACACACACACACACACACACACACACACAAAAAAAACAAAACATTCACCCATAAAAAGAAGACCCTTGGCCGGGCGCGGTGGCTCACACCTGTAATCCCAGTACTTTGGGAGGCCGAAGTGGGTGGATCACCTGAGGTCAGGAGTTCAAGACCAGACTGACCAACATGGTGAAACCCTATCTCTACTAAAAATACAAAAAATTAGCCGGGCGTGGTGGCACATACCTGTAATCCCAGCTACTCGGGAGGCTGAGGCAGGAGAATCACTTGAACCTGGAGGCGGAGGTTGCAGTGAGCTGAGACTGTGCCACTGCACTCCAGCCTGGGCTACAAGAGCAAAACTCCAGTTCAGAAAAAAAAAAAAAAAAAAAAAAAAGAAGGCGACGACGACGACCCTGGGCTAGGCATGGTGGCCCATGCCTATAATCCCAGCACTTTTGGAGGCCAAGGCAGAAGGATGGTTTGAGCCCAGGAGTTGGAGACCAGCCTGGGCAACATCGTGAAACCCCATCTGTAAAAAAAATACAAAAATTAACCAGGCATGGTGGCATGTACCTGCAGTCCCATCTACCCAGGGGGATGAGGTGGGAGGGTCACTTAAGCCCAGGTAACAGAGGGAGACCTGGTCTCAAAAAAAAAAAAAAAAAAAGAGAGAGAGAGAGAGAGAGAAAGATCCTGTCATTTGCCACAACATGGATGGACCTGGAGGATACTATGTTAAACGAAATAAACTAGACACAGACAAACAGTGCATATCTCACTTATGTGTGCAATGTTAAAAAAAAAAATTAAAAAAAGGTCAAGCATACACAGATAGAGAATAAAATGGCGATTATCATGGGCATGAGCTGGAGGAAATAAGGAGATGTAGGTCAAAGGACACCAAGTAGCAGATACACAGGATGAGTAAGTTTAGATGGCTCATGCACAACATAAGGGATTTCTGTTAAGTAGATTTCAGCTGCTCCTCACACACATTAAAAACGGTGACTATGTGAGATGCCAGATATGTTCATCGGCTTCACCACAGTAACCACCGTGCTATCTATATCCGTCCCATTATTCTATAACATCATGTTGTAAACTTCAAATATAGACAATAAAAATTTTAACAACAGGTTGGGTGTGGTGGCTCCTGCCTGTAATCCCAACACTTTGGGAGGCTGAGGCAAGTGGATCACATGAGACCAGCCTGGCCAACATAGTGAAACCCTATCTCTACTAAAAATACAAAAATTAGCTGGGCATGGTGGTGTACATCTTTAATCCCAGCTACTCGGGAGACTGAAGCGCAAGAATCACTGAACCCGGGAGGCAGAGGTTGCAGTGAGCTGTGTTTGCACCACTGCACTCCAGCCTGGGCAACAGAGCGAGACTCTGTCTTAAAAATAAAAATTAAAAACAAAAGGATGCCGAGGTCAGAAGGCTTTTGGAGCAGGCTATGTCTGGCAGTGATCAGCACAGACCTGGGATGGGTAACGAACAGGTGGGGTGGGAGAGCCCCACGCCCACCATCTAGTGTGTAAGAGCTGTGTTCATACATCTGACTATACCGCACATTGTCTCCCTCAATTACTACTCCAGCCCTTGCCACTGTAATCTAAGGCCAGAGGGAAAATCCACCCCTGGTGGACCACGGACGCTGCTCACGGCCAGGACTGAAGGTGGACTGTAACAGCTGGCTTGCTCTAGGACATTTTTAACCCCAGCACTGCTCAATGGGATAAGCCTTGTCACCTTACAACAATGTGTCTTCTCATTTACTTTGTGTCCAGGTGCAACATGTCAGTTACCAGGCATGACGTGAAACAAGACAGAGGCACTGCCCTGAGGAAGCTCACAGCAGAGGGGGCATGAGAAGCAAACCAAGAATCCCCAGACAGTGTGACCAGTGCTGACAGGTGGGAAGGAGTGTGATGGGGAGGCAGACAGAGCTTCTGCGTGTAGCTCTAGGAAGGGGTAACCACTATTGTGGCTCCAAAACCAGCTCAGAGACATAAACTCAGTGAGGCAGGTCTCTGCTTCACCGTCCTTTCCTTTAGCCTCTGAGTACCCTCCACCATGCTGGGCACAAGGGGCACTCAATGAACCACACAGCACCAGTGTATGGTAGATGGACATAACAATGGCTTCTTAGGAAACGAAGGTTGCCATGTGGAGGTTACTGGGAGAAGGTGCTATATAATCTGCATGCTTTTTACAAGCGGATGAGGTGCTTCCATTCAGCCCACCACCACTAGACTGCCAACTGCCCTCGAAGTTCCCCCAAATAAACCCTGTTTCCTTCACTGGCTCCAGGTCTCTTCTCCGGCCTGTTGAACCTGGCGCCATCCCTAATGAGGAAACAGGGGTCTGGCATGACAACCAGGAACCAGGAGGTAACATCACTGATGAGAATAAAGACATGTACGAAAGCTCCAGAGTTTGGAAGGGACAGGAGTGGACCCTCCAAACACGGGGAAGTGCTTTCATTGATTCCTCTCCCTGCACTATCAATGACCAGGGCACAGGCAGCCCACGATCACTTTCGAATACAGGGGGCAAAACAGGGCAGTGAGTGAGCTGAGAGGGGAGGCATTGCCAGCAGCTTAGGAAGAACCCAAACTAAGAGACCTGGAAACAAGTCAGTGACCAGATTCGCAGCCTAGAATTGCAGCAGCTGCTTCTGATTCTCAAAGATTTCTAACATGCTTTGATTTCTCAAACTTGAACACGAGTAAGAATCACCTGGAGAGCATGTTAAGCCAGATTGCTGGCTCCAGCCCCAAAACTTCTGATATAGTAGGTCGGGACAGGGCTAAGCACTTGCACTTCTTACAAGTTCCCAAGTAATAGGGATGGTGCCTGGTTCTGGGACCACAGTTTGAGAACCACTACTTCAATGTTTCCCTCATAAGATAATGAGAGGGAAGATCAACTCTGGGTGAAACGTTGAGAATTCACTGGCTTAGGAAGTTAGGACTGTGTGATACTACTATCCATACATCGGCCAGGCATGGGCTTACTATCCATAATCCCAGCACTTTGGGAAGAAAAGGTGGAAGGATTGCTTGAGCCCAGGAATTCAAAACAAGCCCGAGCAACATGGTGAGACTCCGCCTCTACAGAAAAATTTTAAAAATTAGCTGGGTGCAGCAGCATGTACCTGTGGTCCCAGTGACTCAGGAAGCTGAGGTGGAGGATCACTTGAGCCCAGGTCGAGGCTGCAGTGAGCCATCACTGCACCACTGCACTCCAGGCTGGGTGACAGTGAGACCCTGTCTCAAAAAAAAAAAAAAAAAAAATCCGTAAATCACTTGATAACAAAGATTGTCACCAAGTCCAGAGAAAACCACTAGTTAATTGCCTGCCTCCAAAATGCAGTACTCCTCCCACTTCAACAAACTAGGCCAATCCACACTAGGATGACTCAGAGCCCAAGGGGAGCTCTGTAACCCCACCGTGCTTCACACAGTGGAGTGGCAGAGGAGGAAAAGAGGGTGTCACATGTCCCTGTGGGCCTCAGTTGAGGAGCAAGCAATGGGAAGCAGCCTCTGCCTCCCTTCTAGTGACCTCAAAGCCTTCGTCCTTGCAGCCTGAACACCAGTGCATTCTCTAGAGAAGCACCCAAGATTCATACCTTACAAGCACCACAGTTCAGCCTCTTCTTGAAGAAATGTCACCTGGGGCCACTGGGCCCACAGGACAGAGGTCAGCTGACAATCCTGCAATGACAAGAAGCCACACACATCACTTCTTATAACACATCCCACTATCCAACATGTTCAACAGGAAAAAGCGACCTCTCAATTAGGGTGGGGTAGGCTAGAAGGCGGCTGCATCAGTGACTTCCACTTGGTCCTCCCTCTCTAGCTTTATTCCTGATCTTACAACTCCACCCATTCCTCCAGCCAACCTGAGAACCAGTCACCCTCAGGGGAGCCCTGAAGGCCAGCACAAAAGGCAGAGGAATTAAGAGCTGGAACGGTGGCCAGTGAGTGACACCAACGCACACCTCAGAGGGGCAAGAAAGCAGGCGAAACTCTTGGGTGGGAAGTGAGGGAAGTGTTTTGCCTCTCAGAACACAGCTATGCTGCCCTTGCAGCAATGAACACTTTCTCTTTCTTATGACAAACCCTTCAGGACCCCCTATTCCAGGCCAATGACATGTAAAGATGTAAAGATGTTACCCTATCCTGTCCCCAAGTTACACACATACACGCGGTCAGCCCTGCTCACCCCAACCTCAAAGTCTCCCTCATGTTGTCCCCTCTTCCCTGGTACATGTGCTCCTCACCTCCCCTCCTATTCAAGTGCTATAGAAACCACCTTCAGGAAGTTACTTCATGGAAATTCTGTGGATATCACTGTACATGCCAATATTGCACTCATTCAAAACTGTGCTATCCACCGCGATGCACCACAACTCACTATACATCACATTCCCTTCCCATGAGCCGGACTGATGCTCTACAACCCAGATCCACGCCTCTATACACAGAGCCTGGTTTCTGCAAAGAGAGGTCAAGCTGAGAAAGACCTAAGCATGATGTCCCCCAGCACTGACTCTCATGTGGCAGCCAAGAAAGCACCAGACTCCTCAAGGGCTGGCAGGAGAAAAACAGGAGTGTGTGAAAGCTTTAGGGTTCGGATGGGATAGGGTGGACCCTCCAAACACGGGGACAACTTCTTCCGGTGTTCCTCTCCCTGCACTATCAATGACCTAGGCACAGGCAGCCCATGATCACTTTCGGATGCAGGAGCAGAAAAGGACACAAGGAGAGTCAGGAAGAGCAGGAGGATGGCACCAGGGCCTGTGGGATGACCCAAGTTAGGGACAGTACAAGACTCCTGCAGCTGCCATCTGTCCTGCAAAATCCCATAAAACCTAACCACCAAAGGGACTCAAAGGGGAGACACCTCTGACAAAAGCCCTGGAAAAATCTGGGGACTAGAGAGCAGGATCATGAGGTCACATCCGTAAAAATCAATTCTGCCCTACCTTTGTTTTCTGTATCAGGAAATTGAGATTCAAAACAGGTCAGACGGCCCTTTGCTGGTATCTGGGAACTTGGCTCTAGAGATGTTCCCAGTCAACAGTTTATTGATCAGAGCTGTTCACTGGACACAGTCTCTCTATGCAAATAATGTGGTACAGGCGCCTGTTTTCCTCCTGGAAGTCTGGAATTCTGGTGCATGCTAGGCCGATGGTGTCTACATAACCAGCTCCCAGTAAAAACCCCGGGCATGGAGTCCCTACTGGGCTTCCCTGGGCAGAAACACTGCACACAGGCTGAAAGCATTTTCACTGCTGAGGGGAGAGTGGGTTCCACGTATTTCTGAGGGAGGGAGAGAGCATGAGGAAGCCGGCACAGGGATTCCTCCAGACTCAATCTGCATCATTTTTCCTGAGTCATTTGGCTGTGGACCCCTACAGTGTCGCTATGATAAATCTAAACCATTGATTACAACTGGAAAGAAAATGGTCAGAGCCAGGTGGTGGCAGAGGAAGAACTAAGGGCCAGATACGGACGGCCCTTAATCCAGCCATTTTCCATTATGACTTGCTGCTGCTGCACTGCAGGAAAAGCCCCAGCACTCGCCCCGGGCAGGTCCCTGCAGGGGCCTCCTCCTCCACAGCCCCTGAAGGCACAGGAGGGCCAGCTCCAATCCAGGTTTCCCAGGGAAGAGGAGTCTGGATCTGGGAATCCATGGGATGCGGCCCCTCTTCTCATCCTCACCTCTCCCTACATCACCACTAAAGCACCAGAAATAAGGGAACGTGACTTTATAGGGTGCAAAAAGCCAAAGTTCCAGAGATGGACCCGAAACCTTACCTTGGGCCCTGCGGTCTGCCACTCTCCTGCGTCCCAACACCTCTCACCAGGCCTCTCTACACAGTGTTGCGAAAATGCTGACTAAACTGTTCTCACCTGAATAGCCAGAACGAAACAGCAGCTCATCTCTAAGAAAGGGGGCTGGAGAACTTCTAAGGCAGGGATGACAACCGCTTCATCTGTCAGGCCAACTGTTACTAAGTTCAAGAGGATGCTGGGACCGTGATGTTCTTGGGACTGACTGTGCTGTTTCTCCAGCAGCGTCTGGCGAGCACCGAGGAGGTTGTGGGGAAGCCGTGTGGAGGCTGCTGCCATAAATCCCTCAGTGATATTCTCCCCTGCCTGTCTCTGGTCCTTGATTCCTTTCCCCACAAGCTGGGGCGAAAATCCTCCCCAGTGGCCATATAAGGTCAAGGCCAACAGAACTGAGTCACCTCAGAATCCTCTGAAGGGGAAATCTGCTCCCACCAATCCCACGTAGGTGCTGACTCAGTATTTTTCTCCAACACCACAAAATGCAATGAACCCATCTCCTAACAATGGAGGGACTCTCCCTTTCTTGTTGTTCTTTCTTGAGACAGGGTCTCACCCTGTGGCCCAGGCTGAGTGCAGTGGCACGCCTATGGCTCACTGCCGCCTTGACCTCCTGGGCTCAAGAGAGCCTCCTGCCTCAACCTCCTGAGTACTTGGGACTACAGGGGCAGGCACCGCCACGCATGGCCAATTTTTAGTTCTTATAGAGGCGGGGTTGCTCAGGCTGCAGTTTATCCTTTGTCCCACGCTGTCGGAATACTGACCATCTGGCAGACAGAACAAAGTAGGGAACAAAATTCAGACACTACCCTTAAGACCACAGCAAAGAGGGCCAGGAGACAAGTCAGGCAACAATTTCTGTGGGGTCAGCTTGGTGCAGAGGGGGTTGGATAAGGACGCGGAAGGAGAGGTGTGGAGGCAGAGAAAGCTTCCGGGAGGAAGGAGCAGGGCTGCCCTGTCTCAGCTCCACACCCAGCCCTTCTGCTCCTTGAGGCCAAACCCTTCACCTCACACCCTTCCCTCACGTCTCACACTAACCTGCCCTGGGCCAGGGAGAAGCGCAACACAACTCAGTAGACGATGCCAGGCACCAGGAGGCATCGAAGAGGTGGTGGGAGGGAGGAGGTGTGGGAAAGCTCCGGGGGTTGGGAGAGACAGGAGCGCACCCTCCAAACACGGGGAAGTGCTCCCGGCAGTTCCTCTCCCTGCACCACCAATGACCAGGGCACGGGCAGCCCATGATCACTTTCGAATGCAGGGTCAGAAAGCGCAGAGGGCAAGCCCAGAAAGGAGGCCAATGCCAGCATTCTGGGCAATGGTCTTACCTAGAACAGAACCGCTGACATTGCAACGAGCAGACTTACAGCCTAAGATTACAGGTGCGACTTCTGATTCCCCGAGATCACTTACCACTCCCTGCCAGAAGCTGAAAGGAAGGTAAACACCGGCAGAAATATTGAGAATCCTGGGGCTCTTCTCAAAGACTGGGCTGGCCGGGCGTGGTGGCTCACGCCTGTAATCCCAGCACTTCGGGGGGCCGAGGCAGGTGGCTCATCTGAGGTCAGGAGTTCCAGACCAGCCTGTCCAATACGGTGAAACCCCAACTCTACTAAAAATACAAAAAAAAATTAGCCAGGCGTGGTGGCGGGCACCTGTAATCCCAGCTACTCGGGAGGCTGAGGCAGGAGAACCACTTGAACCCAGAAAGCGGAGGTTGCAGTGAGCCAAGATTGTGCCACTGCACTCCAGCCTGGGCAACGCAGGGACACTCTGTCTCAAAAGAAAATAAAAATAAAAATAAAAATTGGTCAGGCACAGTGGCTCACACCTGTAATCCCAGCACTTTGGGAGGCTGAGGCGGGTGGATCACCAGAGGTCAGGAGTTCGAGACCAGCCTGATCAACACAGTGAAACCCCATCTCTACTAAAAATACAAAAAACGAGCCAGGCGTCATGGCAAGCACCTGTAATCCCAAACGCTCAGGAGGCTGAGGGAGGAGAATCACTTGAACTCGGGAGGTGGAGGTTGCAGTGAGCCGAGATCACGCCACTGCACTCCAGTCTGGGCGACTGAGCGAGACTCTGTCTCAATAAGTAAATAAATAAATAAATAAATAAATAAATAAAACAAACAGACAGACTGGGCTGGAGGGTAGCAACATTGGCTATCTGTTCCACTGAGGCTCACAGAAGACCACTCAGCCAGCCACTGGGTATGAATCCAGGCTTGAATCGGAAACGCAGCCCCTCTGTCCATTCCAACACACGGTTTTCCTCTCAACATCACAGGGTCTTTCTCAAGGACTCTCAGAGCCCAAATCAAGCTCAGGGAGCACCTTCTCGGCAGCAGCCCCTGAAGGCAGAAGAGGGTCCAAACCCGTCCCTGCCTGCTGAGGAAGCAAAGACGGGAGCAAAGTGAAGCAGCCTTCATCTGTGCCCTCGCTCCCCACCCCTCAGCACCCAATCACCTCTGGCCTCACAGCCTGCAGAGAACTCGAGCTCTAGGGAACTGAGCAGAACCCCACTTACCTGGGACCTCAGAATCCATGCTCTCCCAGAGGACACCTCTCACACACATGGGGCAGCAGTCGTGTGACACTCCTGCGGGGCACAAAAAGCCAAGATGTGACTGATGCACTTGACACTGCTTATGGCAAGTCCAGGAAACCACAACATTCACCCACAGAAAACACACCTGGGGAATCAGGGTCTCAGGAGACGAATGTACTAACAGCTTGTCTAGCCCATCTCGGGTCACTGACACAGTCCCCTGAGGTCGTCCCGTCTGAAATGGACAATGGTTCCTCTCCACAGGAGGAAAACCTTGTAACTTTTCCTTTATTACCAATAACCAAGACACAAGCAGCCTGTAATCACTTTGCACACAGGGGCAGAAAAAGATCCAGGGCTTGTTGAAATCGGAGACCAGTGTCAGAAGCCTGGAAAATGGCCTGAGCCGGGACAGTGGCACAGCAGAGCACAGGATGAAGCAGCTTCCGTCTTGTCCCACATAAATGGAACCTGCCCCAACCAGGAGAGGTAAAGGAAAGACCCTCCAGATGAGAAGCTGGCAGAGTTCTTCGGACGTGGAAGACAGGGACTGTGTGATCTTAAGAAAAATCACCTCAGTGTACTCCTGTTCTCCAGATGAGGAAACTGAGGATCATAAAAAGAACCAAAGCTAGAGAGTGGTGGTAAGGCGTTCAGGACCAGGATACAAGTAGGTTTGATGCCAAAGCCCTCCAGCTTTTGAGTCAGATATTCCAAGACACAACAATGATAAGGGATCCCTGAAGACACTAAACCTAAGCAGGCACAAGAGAAACCCAATGCGTTCATGATGGCCCCAAAGAGGGTAAAACTGGGGCCAGCACAAAGACACCCTCACCTCACTTCTGTCTACTTCCCAGACGTCACGCCCAGGGAACCTGCATGCACCCACTCTTGCGGGACACAAAGCCCCAGATCTCCAGAGGACAGACCTCGTGGAACACCATGGTCCACCTGCTTCCTGGCAGGACGGAGACACCTCTCATGGGCCCCACTGCACCAATCAACCTCCTCTGCCAGAATCAAGAAGCCCTGGATGAGCTATCTAGACGTCACCTGGTCAAACCTGTTCTGGAAAGGACAAGGAGAAGACTGGCACAGAACCAGGTGGTAAACGTTTCCTAAAAGTTGGCTGGTGTTAACAGTGGTTCACGGTCTCAGCAACACGAAAAGAGTTCGTCTAGAGAAGAACCACACATCAGGGACAGCTAAAGTCTCATCTTATGCACATATTGTTGAATTTGTGATCCTGACACAGTATACTGAAGGGGACTCTGAACCTAGGGCAGGTTCTGGTGTGGCACACCAGCGTGGCGGAGTCTGGCATACACAGTAAGGGCTATTTCGGGCAGGATGGCCCATCTGTCATCTGTGGGTCAGGGCTGATTACACATCTCACTCTTCTATCAGCCATGCCTACCTACACCTCTGGCTTTGGTCCTTGACATCACAATGACAATCCTGTGGGGAAATTCATCCTGGTGGCCCACGGACAAGACCGTCAAGGGGAACACCATGGGATGACCACTGGGCCAGTGGGAAATAGCTCTGACCACCCCCACACAGGCTGCCTCGCTCAAAAGTATTCCACTGACATGCAACAAGGTGACATGCAAAGCCCTGTCACCTTACAATTCTAAGTCTTTAGGCTGGAATGCAGTCCAGGCTGCAGCACAGGCTGGAATGCAGTAGCACAATCTCGGCTCACTGCAACCTCCACCTCCTGGCGCATGCCACCTGGCGTGTGTGTGTGTGTGTGTGCGTGTGTGTGTGTGTGTGTGTGTGTTATCGAGACAGGTTTTTGCCATGTTGCCCAGGCTGGTCTTCAACTCCTGGGCTCAAGCGATCCACCCACCTCAGTCTCACAAAATGCTAGGATTACAGGTGTGAGCCACCACGGCCAGCCACAATTGTCTTTTTCCAGCTCCTGTGTTTTGTTTTTTGTTAGGGACATAGTCTCACCCTGTAGCCTAGGCTGGAGTGCAGGGGCGTGATCTTGGCTCACTGCAACCTCCACCTCCTGTGTTCAAACGATTCTGGTGTGCCTCAGCCTCCTGAGTAGCTGGAATTATAGGCATGT